AGAGAGCACAAGCAGGGGGAGCGGCAGGCAGAGGGAGAGGAGAAGCAGGCTCCCCACTGAGCAGGGAGCCCGATGTGGGGCTCGATTCCAGGACCCTGAGATCATGACCTGAGCCAAAGGCAGACGCTTAACCAACTGAACCACTCAGGTGGCCCCTTTGCTTATTTGTTTTTGTGACTAGGTCTCAAAGCTATGCTATTACCTATTTCATGGCTCATATCTTTACAGCATATTTCATCATTTATTAAAATTAAATGCAATGCCAAAATAAAAGAATAATTACTAAGCTACACACAATGAGAATTTACACACTATCAGTCTCATTAATTTACTAAATTAACATGAGATTATTTCTCCTACAGTCTTGCCAAGGCTGGATACCTTTTTTTTGGCAATGATGGGTATAAATACCATGCATGTATAGGTATATGTATTGATACAGATATAGATATATAAATTTCTCTGAATAATTAGGACACATTGAATATTATATATATTTATTAACAATTTGATTTCTTTCTTATATGAGCTGTCTAGTTACATTTTTATTAATTCTCTTCTTCTTTCTTTTCTTTCTTTCTATCTTTCTTTCTTTCTTTTCTTTCTTCTTTCTTTCCTCCCTCCCTCCCTCCCTACCTTTCTCTCTTTCTTTTTTTTCCATTGATATTTAGTGCTTCCTTGTATTTGTGGAATAGCAATTTGTGATCTGCTATTGGGTTACCAATGTAGCATCCAACCCTGTCACTTGCTTTTGAAATATTTTTCTATTACAGAGGTTTTTAAAATATTAGCTATTACAAACTTTTCTTTTATGGTTTTGGGGTTTTTGCCTCCTTAAGAATGCCAAAGGAGGAGATTGGTTGAGGGCTTTTAACATTTGTGTAGAGCTTAAATTTTCAAAATTTATTATGGGTGTAATTAAACTTTAATTCATTTACTCTTGGGAAAAAAAATATTTCCTTCGAATTTTCAACTATTTTGTAGTTTTTTTTTTTTTAAAGATTTTATTTATTTATTTGAGAGAGAGAATGAGATAGAAAGAGCATGAGATGGGGGAGGGTCAGAGGGAGAAGCAGACTCCCTGCCGAGCAGGGAGCCCGATGCAGGACTCGATCCAGGGACTCCAGGATCATGACCTGAGCCAAAGAGAGTTGCTTAACCAACTGAGCCACCCAGGCGCCCTATTTTGTAGTTTTGATGTTTACATTTGTGTTTTGCATAAGAGAGAGAGCTGTGTTCTATTTCCCAATTGGAAAGCTGATAATTGCAATTCACTGTTTCTAATAGTTCATTATTTTCACACAGATTTTAAATGTTAGCATTATCATATATTAAATGTTTACACATCTGCTTTAGCAAACTCTGCTCTGCCCCAGGGACTCATTTGTCTCTCCATGTCCCATGCTGCTGGGCCTCCCGTGATGCGAGGGCAGAGGCCTCACTTTGCTTCGGCTGGCCATGCAGTCCCTGTAGGTGCCTGTAAGGCTGGTTCACAGGAAGAGAGTCCTGTGCTCCTGGTAAATTCTGTTTATATATGCCAGACGAATATTCTGTACTCTACTTTGACCGATAGACCACATTGCTCTGAGGCACTACTGTGAATAACCCCATCAGGAATCTCTTCCCAAGCTCACAAGTTCCCAGCTCATTCTCATCCTGTGTGCCCAAGCCTTGCAAGCCCTTGGAAACTCATGATGAGACATTAGAAAATCCCCACACAGCTGAGCTCTCTTCAACCTCCGGCCCACATTCATCATGCACGCACTGCCCCTCAGCTGGAAGCAAAGCTGCTCTTCCTCCCACGTTTCAAAACGCTCATGGGGTGCACCAGAGAACAGGTGCTCTTCCCACACTGTGATTTCTCTTTGCTCTTTCAAAAACCCCCACTACTTTGAAACTCATAATGTTAGAAACCACGTGCAACCTTCCTTGCAGTCATGAAAATTTGAATTCCTTCCTCATGATCTTCCCCCTTCACCCTGTTCTGGTCACTATTCATAGGGCCTTTAACCTCCACCCACCATGTTTCTTGACCTCCTCTAGGACACTGACAGATTTCTGTTCCCTCACCTAATTCTCACACCCCTGACGCCTGTCATTAGGACTCTGATCGTTTTCCCTGTAGTTCTCATTACCTAGGTCCCTCCCTCATCAAATTCTCTCTTAACCAGTTTGATTCTATAATCCAAATTACAATTACTCCTTTAAAAACACCCTGTCATGGCTAATTGTATGTGCCAACTCGACTGGGTGATAGGGTCCCCAGATATCGGGTTAAACTATCTTTCTGTGTGTGTCTATGAGGATGTTTCTGGATGCACGTAATATTTGAAATGATAGACTGCGTAAAGCAGATGGCCTTCCCCAATGTGAAGGGGCCTCAATCAGTCCTTGGAACACTGGGATAGAACAAAGTTTGAGTAAGAAAGATTTCTCTGTCTGTCTGTCCGTGTCTCCCCGCCCCGGGACATTCATCTTCTGACTTCAGACTTGGACTGGAACTTAACACTCAGGTCTCCTGGGTCTGCAGCTTGCCAACTGTAGATTTGGGACTTCTCAGGCCCCATAATCACATGAGCCAATTCTTATTTATTTATTTTTTTAAGATTTATTTATTTATTTTAGAGACAGAGACAGAGAGAGCATGAGTGGGAGGGGCAGAGTGAGAGGGAGAGAGAATCTCAAGCAGACTCCGAGCTGAGTGTGGAGCCCTATGGGGGGTTCAAATCTCATGATCCTGAGATCATGACCTGAGCGGAAACCGAGAGTCAGATGCTTAAGCTACTGTGCCACCCAGGAGCCCCGAGCCAACTCTTCATAATCAATCAACTTGCTTCTCTCTCTCTCTCTCTCTCTGTCTCCACAGGTGAATCCAAATGCACACACACACATATACACACTCTCACACTGGTTCTGATTCTCAGAAGAACCCTGTCTCACACACACCTTAACTCCTTTGCTTCCTCCCTCTTGATTAAATTCTTTTGAACTATATTAGTTAAGAGAATATTGGTTAAAATGTAATGGTTAAAACCAATTGTGGACTCAATCCTTATTTGTATATTTGTTCAGGTAAAATGAAATCCAAAGGTTAATGAATCATTTTTCCTGGTTTCCCATTTCGTTTGAAGAACTCAACCCTGAAACCCTGATACCCTGATATTTTTCTCATAATTCTACTACATTCTCCAAGTCTTTCCCTTTTCCCCCTGGGAGAGTTCCGTTTCGCATGTTCAGCGGTTTTGTCAAACCTCAAATATTTCCCTCCTGCCCTCTCTCACACAGACTTGCTTTGTACTTCCCTGGTAGAGTTGAAGACAGAGAACTGATGTTCCCCCCGGGTACCAGGACCCCCCCAGCCCATTCCACCCCACAGCCACTGCCCTCAGCCCTGCCACGATCGAGGATCAAGTGTCTGAGAGCCACCCCACCTTCCACAAGCACTTGGCAGTCCATCCCTCCTGATCCCCCCAAAGATCCCTTTACAGCTGAACATATTCCTTACCCTTTCCTAAAATAAAATTTCAGAACAAAGTAAAACTGCCTCCCACCTGCTTTACTCTATGACAGAATATCTACCACATGGCTTCTCCAGACCCTGCCTCCACATCCACTCCTTCTAACGTCTCCCAAATTAATTCAGGCTTTACCTCCAACACTCTAAAAGGGTTCCTCTTTTCGAAGTCAGTGATGGAATAGCTCAACTTTTCGGTGGCAGCCAACGTGGGTGATAAATTCCACCTTCTAAAGCTCTCCCCTCAATGTCTCTCCTGCTTCTGACTTATGTCCCACCTCTGTCCTCTGTGGCTGTGCTTTCCCGGCTTTCTCCTCTCTCCCTTTCCTTTCTTTTGCCCTTTAAACATCAGAGCATGAGAGGGTTCATCCTTAGCCTTCTTCTCTGGGTTTTCTGCTTGGTGAATCCACATAGCACTGGCTTTAAGCATCCTGTGTATCAGTGGGCTTATGTGTTCATGACTTCTACATTTATTTCTCTGATTTCAAACTCTCCACTGAGTTCCAGGCTCATGTTTTCAACTGTACAGGTGACAATTTCACTGGGATATGAAATGAATGCATTGAGGAGACATGACTGACTTAGAACCTTTGATATCTCCAATTATGTTCCCTATTGACGTTTCCCATCTCGATAAATGGCACTGTCACCATGCAATTTTTGGAACCAATAAGCTAAGACTCCTGGATTCTTCTACTTTCCTAATGCTATCATCTATTGCATTAGGAAGCCCCAAAACATCTACCTTCAAGACACACCCCAAATTCATGTGCACCTTTAACCTACATCACTTCTCTTTCAGACCAATCTGCCCACAGCATTGGGTTCCTACTGTTTCTGTTTCAGTTGCTGATTTTGGATGATAAACTCTTCACATAGTTTAAAACACATCAACCTGATTAGTCTTACCTCTGCTTAAAACCTATGGTTCTTAGAATAAAACTCAAATTCTTCCATGGCCCCAATGCTTTATATTACTTCATCGTTGTCTGTGTCACTAACCTCATATTATGTTCTCTCTCACCACTCTAGCTTTATTGGACTTCTCTTTGGGCCTCAAATAAATAAAAGTTATTACCAGTGCGGGGTCTTTGCCCTTGCTCTTGATAGTCTGGAAACATTTTCCTTTTACTTTTATATAAAAAGGCCTTTATAAAATATTAACATCATTTTAATGAGATCAAATATTTATACAAACTGGGCAAATAGGGAAGGTGGGGAAAGAAGAATGCCTTCCAGTAAAGGAGGGGAAAGGGCAGGAAGGAGTGGGCAGGCAGGGGAGGCAAGGGGTTTAACAACAATCTTCAGTGTGGGGCTCTCCAGAGTAAGGGCAGGCAGGTCTGGGGTATTGTGTCAGGTAGAGTACGGGGTCAGCAAGAAGAGAATAAATAGAAGGGTTTGAATTTCAGGAGGCAGGTAACAGGGCCCTGACTCTTAGGAGCCAAAGGGGCCAGCAGGCTGGGAAGAAACCCTCCTGGTGTGGTTCTTACGCACTGTAGGAAGGTGGGAGGCCCCTGGAGTACTGCATCTTCTCCCAGCTCTGCAGCTGAGGATCTGGGCCCTGGGCTGACACCGCCCCTGCCGCGGGGTGGGTAGCAGACAGTGAAGGCTGGGCATCAGGCTCGAGGTCAGCGTCCTCCCTGCAGACAGTGTAGCTCCAGGAGTGAAGGCTTCTGATTAGAGGCCCTGGTCTGGGCACAAAGGAAGGGACCACACCATTTCTGATCAGGGGCTTAAAGGCAGATGGCCTGGGCTCCGGGTTCCGCCTCCTGCTTGTGCTCTCTGGAATCTCAAACCACAGGGGCCCGTCAAACTTCCTGTTCCCCTTCTGGCACTGGCTGAGAGCCCTCAGCACGGTCTCCTTGGCACAAGGGTCTGGGCGCTCCTCCACTAGTGGATGCCCTGCAGAGCAGGCGCCGTGCCCCTGTGCCTGGGACACCCAGGGGTTCCCTCTGCGCTCAGGGGGCGCGATCCTGACCGTCACAGGGCTCCAGATCCGTCTTGGGTGGCGGGCACTCCAAAGCCACCGCTTCATGTAACTCTCCCAGGCGCCGGAGAGATCCGGCCCCAGGACTGTCTCAGCAGGTGGCTTGGCGGGAAAGCGCCTCCATGCCTCAGGGACCACCCTCCGCGGCTTGGTGGGGTCCCAGTTGGGCGGCATCTGCGGGAGGGGTCCCGAGCAGATGCGGTGCCCACCGTCATCGGCGTGGGCAGGCCTGGGCCGCGGGTTCCGGCGCCCTTGGGCGAGGGGTGGCGGCTCGGGCTTGGATGTGCTCAGGTAGTTGCCCATGGGAGCGGGCGTCAGGGAGGGGGTTTTCTAGTGGGGATTCGGCTTCCAGAAGTTCCCAGTGTCGCCGGACGCAGCTGCAGCCAAAGCGCCCAGGACTCAGATGACCGTTGGCATCTGGGTGCACGGAAAGCGCGTGGGCTTGGGTTCTGGAACCCTCCACAACCCCTGGGCGCGTGAGGCTGGCAGAGGGGACTCAGGAGAAGTCTGCAGGTGCAGCTGCAGCCTGAGTGTGCATGGTTATCTGGAGGTCACAGCCTCCAGTCTCTGTTCTTCCCGCTGCTGATAGCAAGAGTTTGGCTGCGGAGAGAGGACTAGGACTTCACCATCTCCACTCCCCAATCCCCAGCATCTTTACTGCAATATCATTCACATACCATACAGTTCACCCAAAGAGTACAGTTCTACGGCTTTCAGCACGTTCACAGATACGTGCACCCATCACCACACTCAACTTGAGAACATCCATGCTTCAAAGAGAAAGCCTGGATGCTATGACTATCACCTTCCCATCCACCTCCCCTTCCCCCAGCCCTAAACAAGCACTAATTCATTTTCTCTCCAGATATAGATTTCTCTATTGTGGGCTTTCATATAAACGGGATTATGTAATATGTAGTCTTTTGCGACTGGCTTCTTTTGCTTAGCATACTGTATTTTCAACGTCCATCCATGCAGTAGCAGGTCGCAGCTTTTCACTCTTTATGATCCAGCAATATTCCATTGCACAGACAGACCACATGTTGTTTATCCTTTGCCAGTTAATGGACATTAGGGTTGTTTCCACTCTTCTGATATTATGAATAATGTTGCTATGAACATTCATGTATAAAAGTTTATGTGGACAAATGTTTTCATTTCTCTTTGATGTATAGCTAGGGTAGAATTGCTAGGCCATACCTTAACTGCTTAATTTTTTTTTTTTTTTAAGATTTATTTATTTGAGAGAGAGCACATACTAGCGGGGGGTGGGGAGGGGCACAGGGAGAAGGAGAGAGTATCCTCAAGCAGACTCCATGCTTATCAGGGAGCCCTACTTGGGTCTAGATCTCATGACCCTGAGATCATGACCTCAGCCAAAATCAAAAGTCCCAGGCTTAACCTACTGAGCCGTCCAGGCGCTCCTTAACTGTTTAACTTTTTGAGAAATTACCAAACTATTTTCCCCAGTGTCTGTACAAGTCTACATCTCCACCAGCAGAGTTGTCTCTATTTTGGGACTTGATTTGAGAGGGAGAAGTAGTTCTGCACAGGTTCCAACAATTTACATTTGTTAGAAATCTTCCCAGTTGATGCAATGGGACCTGCCCTGGGACCACACTTTGAAATTGCAGCTATAGGCTTAATTGTGAGTGTATAAGGTTTTAGGATCTAGCGTTTATTGCAGTTATACCAGTTTAAGTTAGACATTGAAGGCAAAGGAGACTATCATCTGATATCTAAATTATGCAGAGTATCATTTTCCTCACTTGGGAAAAATGTGTATTTTTTAGGAGCATTTCTGAAAATGTAATGGTCATTAAAGTCATCTGGAGATGTTAAAATGTAGGTTTTGATTCAGTAGATCTGGGTGAGGCCTATAATTCTGCATTTCTAATAGATCGCAAAGACTGGCAATCTCAGTCATACCCTGAGTGTTTGTTTGAAGGTAGGGCCTCAGGCACTATCCAGATCAATTACCTCAGCATTTGAACATGTGTATTTTGAAATTTGGCATGCTTGGGTCTAGATACAAAGTTCTCAACTCCAGTTGCATATTAGAATGACTTGCAAAACTCCTTGTCCTGCTATTTTGTTTAAAATAGTCTGGAGGAGGTCTGTGAATAGCTAATGTAAGTTTTAAAAGTCCTCCCAGTGAATCCAGTTGTCAGCTATGGTCCAAAGTGACTGGACTGGCTGGTTTTGGGCTGGGAAACGTGGCCTGCTGTGGACTCTGACATCCCCCTTGTTGGTCAGCATTGACTTAATTGACATGCCTGATGGTGCAACTTCTTCCTTCCATCTCACTCCATGTTCACTTGCCCAAGGTTTTTCCTCTATTAGGAAATTACATTCATTTATATACTAGTCTAACCTTTGATGAAGAAAGTTACGTCTGCTCCCTTACATATATATGACTGAATCTCAGGATGTAAGATGGTTCATGCTTTAAGTCCATATTACCAGACAATAAAGCCAGCACTGAGCATAGTAGGTGTTATATGTATTGGTACTTAATAAATGCTCATTGAAAGATTATATTCTACATTGTAAAGGTTCAGCCTTTACCTTCCATTCATGTATTTGGTTTCTAAAAAAAGTAATTCCTTTTAAGATTTACATTTCCAGAAATGTTCAGAACATAATCCCATGGCATTGCATTCTTTTTAGAATGATCTCCTATTATGTATCCAATGGTTTGTTAAATATATACAGAACAAAATGTGTGCCTTCTAATGTCCTGTTCAGATATAATTCTATAATCGGAACTTTCAGGCCATAAAATGAAAATAGGGGTGGCATTTTATGCTGAAATATTTCTTCCTGAAAATGAAAGTTTTAAGGGCAAAAATTATGTCTCTAGAGTGCTGCTGTATACCATATCTTAGCTGCCGTGGATGCCCAGCACTTGTGAAACGAGAAATCCACCCCAAGGTCCTGTAGTTAAAATTTTGATCAACTCACCAAAAATGAGCACAGATGACGGAGTGGTTAGCAGCGACAGGGTCTGCCTGGGAAGGCAGGATTGGCACGGTTAGCTGCAGGAACTGCAGCTAGTTTTGTTCTCGTAACTCTCCCAGATCCATAATTCAAAGTCTCACAGCTTGCATAAGATTCATCAGACAGAAAACAGTAATTACAAAGACATAATGAAGGGGTGATTTCTAGAGAAGGCTCTTTGGAATATTGGATGTCACAGTAGGAAACGTATTTTTGTAGCTTTTAAGAAAGATGAGTTCCACAGGTATTGGCATTGTGGTGCATGCTCTTTGGCAGCCAGATCTTCTTTTATTAGGATCATTTCTGACAGTCTTGGGCTCACCTGAAATTGAAAAGTCATTCTAAAATGTATTAAAAATAATGTAAGTCAAGAATGATTAAGCGTCAGAAACCATGCATGTTTCTTGTTGACTTGACTACTAATAGGCATTCTCACGAAGGATTCATTTGATGTAAAATAAATGAAATAAAATGAATGAAACATAACAGTCCCACTGAGGAGCCAGCATGGTCTATGCCTTGATCACACTTAACTCTTATGTCAACAGAGTCATACCACTGAAAAAAATAGTACAATCTAGTAGATTAAATGAATTAAACGATGTCTAAAATGTAAAGGTTCAGTAATCCATGGCATATGGTATGTTGTCATCTTCAGGGTAATGATAGCAAAAACAAACAATGGAACAAATACATGCCAAATTTTATGGGTTTATGGTTATAAAGCATATAAGACATACAAATTAAGTAACTGGTTGAATGTTTAGGCATTGGTTATATTCATTTAATTTTTTTTTTATTCTTATGATAATCCCCATACATTACATCATTAGTTCTAGATGAAGTGTACCATGATTCATTGTTCGTGCACAACACCCAGTGCTCCATGCAGAACGT